GGGGGGGGGGGGGGGGGGTACTCGTCGGGACCCTGATCGTGGGAAGAGCGGATTCGGTTGTTGCCTGCCTTGGCAAGGCTGGCGGCCACGACAGCCGCCGGAGACGGGGAGGGTGGCTTCCCAACTCCTCATCGAAAATAAGACATGCAACGTTTAGTAGTGCTTGAGTTCCGGCGTGAGATTTATGTGGCGTTTTCAGACACAACACGAGAGCGAGAAAGGACAAAGAACTGATCTGGAGGGTTGTTGAAAAGGTTGCTAGCTCAAACGAGGATAAAATGGGCTCGAAATCGCCGCTCTTGTCGTTCTGTGCGTTTGCTGTGAATTGATTGGCTGCTTCGACGAAACGTTTGTGTAACGCAACAGCAGTATCATCAAGAACACCGCAGGAGTTTGCAAGAGAGGAACGTCTCCGCGTCAACCCGGGTAGAGTCATGCGTGGCACTCAAGTGGGAACAAGGAGACTACTGCTGTCCGTGGTCCGTGGTAAATTTGGAACTTTGTCTAATTAATTCTGATTCTTAGTCCGGAAAGCCACCCCGACAGGGTGTAAGAGCACCGACAGCACAGAGCCGGATGGAACGTGATGGGTACCATAGTCGGCGTTCGATCCAAAGGTGGTACGGTGGACTGGGATAAACGTTTTGAGTGCGAAGTACGTCGCGGGTACTGGGCAAAATCCTGCGGGTGTCGCGCAGCGCATGTATGCATACAGGACGGTAGTCACAATCGTTACCTTTTCTTCGCGGCGAACTGGAACATCAAACCAAAGAATATATTTGGTAACAACACAGCAGATCATGACCACGCTCGCCTACGGGGGAGCGCTGGAAACCGTACCAACAGTGGTGAAGTTATCGTAGATGGCATTGTGAGGAGCTGAGTGGTAGAGCAGCTGTGCGGGAGTAATAATTCCAGATCTTCAAGATCCCTGGGTGTAAGCAAAAACATCAGCAGAACCCTCCCCACTCCCCCCACACACCTGTAGAGCCATTCCCCGTCGACCTTTTGGCTGTCGATGCCGGCTTCCCTCTTGTGTTTCCGCCCTCTGATGACCTCGGTCAGTTCGTCGACCGTAAACTTGACCCCGGTTGTGCCGCTGCACGCCGCCGTGACCAGCTCCTGTCTCGTGCACCACTGGTTGGGCGGAATGGTCTCCTTGAAGCTGATGTAGAACTGGTCCCATATCTGGACCCTTCGCTCCGTCGAGATAACGGCTCGCGCGGCATGCCCGGTTAGCTTCGCAAACGGCGGCGCAAAAGAGGGGAGAGGGGAAAAGCACGATGATCGTTAGTCTAATCATGTCGCCCCGCCTGCTTAAGCGGACTGTCGACGGCTCCAAACGATGCGATTCGCCCGCCGGAAAAAGGTCGGGGTCCCGTGGGACAGGGTGGTAGTTGTCGTATTTGACGACCGTTCTACAGAAACAAACATGGGGTATCCGACCGGCCAAAAGAGTCGATCCCAACACCCCCCGGTCTTTGTGTGTGACGGTCGGCGTTCGGTGGCATCGGCAAATAGAGGCGCACCGGCAGTCGGCGGCCAACCACCCCGCGTTTCGTGCGTGACCTCCCTCCAACGTCGTGTCTGAAAAAAAAAAAGGCGGGGGGATTTTGAAAAAACTGCCGGAAGTTTAACGACAACACCCCAAGGCGCCAACTGTCCGTGGATCTGCTGGTGAGCGTATAGGGCGAACGACGCGCGCCTCGCTCAACCAAGCTGTCGGGCGGGATGGCGCCAAAAGCCAGGGAGCAGTGGATCTTCAGTGCGATCCTGCCTTGTCCCCAAACACCAACCCCACACAATATTCTGGGCAGACAGAGAGTCAGGTCGCCAAGCATGGAGGCTTCCGGCCCTTCTCCTCATCACCTGGACTGGAGGAGTTGGCGGCGTCATTCTCCAGCACCTCGAAGTCACGTGGAACACGTCTGCGCACGTATTAGTAGGCGAAAAGCAGGAGACAGACCCGCGCTGCTCGGCTCGACCGAACGGCGGGGGTCACACAAAATGTAGCATGAGGGGGCACCTACCCGCAGCCGGGGGGGCTCCGAGAAAGATGAAAATGGACACACAACACAGCAACACATAGTAGTCGCGCCCGCACGAGGGTGATGTGTTGGTACAACACAGCCTCTGTGTGTCGACCTGATACCGCAGAACTATGGCCGGAGCCGGCCGATCTATCGCGGCGGTGTTGTTCAGCCTCATCGGGGGCGTGATGAACGCAACGTGGTGAGCAGGGGCGTGGACTCAATGTGTTTACACATCATGTGTAGCGTATGCATACGTATTTCACCGAGTAGACCGGATAGATGAACCGCATCTCAGCGACGCGTACATACTGACGGCGCCATCGATGATCGATGGACGACGCACCCGCCCACCGCTGTAAAGCTGTGGTTTGCTGGAGTAGAGTTCGCACACGCGAGCGCCGCGGCGTCCACTCTCTCGTAGCCCGGTGCTCCCGCCTCTCCCCCCGCGAATCAGGAACAAAATGGTGTGCTGACGACGTCACTCGATGCTGCACCCAGTCAAGACATGAGACATTCAACCTTCTGTTCCCTGGTTTCATCGCCACAGGCCGCTGTTCTGCAAGCCCGAGTCACCGGAACTCATTCGGGTGGCTACAAGTGACGGCTGGCAGTGGTGAGACGCCTCGGTAAACGCCGGCATGAGAGAAGTATAGGCATATGCATATGACTACGAGTACAACGGTTGGTTGAATTTTTTAACTCCTGCGGCAGCAGTCTAGACTCCAGTACAAGTGGTACAGAGCAGTACTGTTACCCTTTGCGTGCTCATGGGACAATGTCTGTGCATGGCAGGTAGCAGTTGGCCACACCGCGCGGACCTCTGCTGTAGGTTGTCTTCTCTGAAATCTGGCGAGGTTGACTCTCTCTCTCTCAAATTTGGCTGTCGAATTTGAAAAAAATGCCTGCCACATGTTAGTCTCCCTGATTGTCTATACCGAGCTTGACGTACATACGTTGTGGATAGACTTCAGCTGTATGGTCCCCTGTAATAGTGTCAAGGGCTTGAGCTCGCCCTGTAACAGGCTCGGGCACCGGGTCCGGGCACCTGGCCAACACTATTCAGAGTTTTAAAGACAAATTGAGTATTCCATCTTCGTCACGCGATTCCTCTGGCGTTCAGTATATAGGTAGTCTACAGGGCGACCGGCCTCGTAATGAGGGCTCACACTGCTGTATCTTGTCTGTGGCATCGATGACTGACCTGCTTAGAGTGTCGAGAGGGGAGAGGATTCGTGAATCACGAAGATTCACTAATAGACGACAATTCGAACCCTACTCAAACGCACCTTCCCTACAACATTTGCACCACCTGGTATCTACGCCAACGCATTCTTCAGGGAAACAGACCGCATTGTGCCACAGAATGACTTTCGCTTCGTGAACTCTGGTATATATGGCCATCCCAGCCTGACTGCCCCCCCCCCCCCGTCTTGTTGTCCTCTCTCGCTGCCGGCATGTCGTGTCGAAAACTCTGGGTGCGTTTCGACACAGGGAGAACGTTTGGCTCCCTTTCATCATCTACTCCACGGTGCTGAACGCGATATTTTGCGTGAGCGTGGTGGGCCCAGACGCCCTGTCGGCCGTCTACCGTGAGGCTTCTCCTGTCGACCTCGGTCTCGTGTGCACCTTTTCTTTCCTCTGGGGGTCCGGCACGGCTTGCTTCTCGTTAGGGATACAGCTGGTGCGTGGCCGTAATACGTATACATCTTCGGCGAACGCACACCCCATCATGTTTTTTTGTCTGTTTGGTCAGGTTCTCGTCTCGGCAAGACGGGCAGGCCGCCGAGGGAGTATCTCTGCGTGTCCCACGAGGCACGGCTCATGCATGTAGTGCAGCAGATCACGGCAACTCCGAGCACCTGCTGCCCGCCGCTGTTGCTAGGTTTTGGTCCGGGCCGTACGCATACAGAGCCAGGTACCACACACACAGAGCTCTCTGCCGGATGTTAATGTGCACGGCACCATCCCGGCACTGCTTCTATACCCCGCGGCCTACCTTGCCCCTTTCGCCTTAACGTATGTACCCCGCTCAGCTGGGGGCCGGGCCGGGCACGGCTCTGGTCATGTCGCTCCTCGTCGTGATCGGGACTCTTCTGCCGTTGATCGAGGACCACGCGGACGACGCGGGTTCACCTGCAGCATTGGTCACCTTGCTCGGCCTCCTGTTCGCCATCAGCGGTTTCGTCTCATCGGGTCCGTGCTTCGGAACGGGCGTAGCAGTCGAGATGATGGCTAACGTGACCAAGAAATAGTTTATTTAAGAATTTACACCATACTCATTTTGAAGAGTAACGATGTTGATTTAGAACGCAGGTTGCTGCTTGTTGTATCTGCCTAGAACAGGAGGGGGGGTACCGTGGAAATGTGACACATTATTGTGTGGCAGCGTCCATCGTGCTTCTATGACGCGGGATTTGCTGTGCTCTCATACATGCGTCTCCCCCCCTCTCCGTGCTACACGGGTGGGTGCTTTTTGCATGCGTCGTTCCAGCGCTATCCTCGGGCATCAAGGCTCGCGCGATCGAGGCCGCACAGAGCAAGACGAAGGCTGAATCGGGCGCCGACGAGCAGGCCGATCGTGTCGAGGCATCCACCGCAGCCGCCGCGGTAGCTGCACCCGGCGCGACCGGAACGTCCCACGCCAAAGCCGTGACGGGCACAACCCAACCGGGGGAGGGGACGACGCCGGCGCCGACCAAGGAAGCTTCCGACAACACAAAAGGGGCGGGAGAAAATACCAGCCACTTGACCGCCGTCGCCGTCTGCGTGGCGGGCGCGGTAATGTCTTCCATGCTGCAGTTCTCGTTCGTTTACGGTGAGCGGCGGGTTTTTGGCGTCCTTGTGCCCTTGTACACATGTAAGCACCACCCCGATATCTTGAGGCGCTGTTGCAGGTACATCTCGGTTTCTTTCGTGCTGTATTTCTCTCTGTAAATTTTCACGCCTGCCACAACCTCCTCTTGCTAGCCCCTGAATCTGTCGTGCAGAGCGTGTTCTACTACTGTCTGGCAATGTTCTGGTGCTCGTGCTCCCAAGCTGGAGAAACCGGAAGGACATGTTGTGATCTACAACAGGGTAGAGGGGGGCCATGCCAACAAGCCAGTCGACAAATACTGGGGGGAAATGGTGACGTTTTTTTTCGATCCGCCGGAGGAACCATCCAAGTACGCTATGAACAGCAAGCATTCCACGAATCTCAAAAGTGATGTTTCCTCCAGGTCTCCAGCTCTGTATCCGGGAGTGTATCGGTGTCTATCCTGGCTTCCACGCTGTCTTCTTTTTTTGCCAGAATGCTGTATCCATTAACCTCTCTCTCTGGAGCATGGGTGCTGTGTACACCACGGTCTTTTGCGGACACGACCCCCCAACACCATTGGGCGGCGCTTCCTACCCCGCGATCCTCTCTCTCCCCCCGTGTGCTCCAGGAGACCCGCTGATCACGCACGCAGAGGAAGAAGAGGGAGTGTCCGGCGCTGCGGCACCCCTTGTGGTGTGGCTTCTGGCCTTCTCCCTGGCGGCCCTGTGGAACGTGGCGTACGCAGTCTATCTGCTGTCGAAGAATGAAACGTGGGCGCGGTACACTTGGGTGGGGTGGTCGGACGTGGCCCGGAAGTTTCGCAATGTGAGAGAAAGGACTTGGCCGGCGCTGCTGCTTGGCGCGAAATTTGCGGTGTGGAAGCACACACTTCCTCGGCCATCAGGCCGTAGTAGGGCACGCTGCGCACCCCTTTCCCGAGGAATCTTGGCTGCGCTTGCTACCGTCCGTGCTACGCCGCTATTCGTGGATGGTGTTCTCATCGCAGCTGCTTGCGGTTTGTTTTTTACCGTGCTTGTTGCGGGCAGTGTTTCGGTCTTGCTTGGTGGCCCTTGGAACCAGCGAAGCCACTTCTTTTCACATAGCACATCCTTGCCCCTGTCCTCAGCCGCTTCTCCCGAAGGCGTCGGAGGACAGTTTTTTTTTTTTGTGTGTCTTCGCTGCACCGTGGTCTGGTGGATGGCTCTCAAGAATCTACTGCTTGTCAGCGGGCGCTAGTGACCCTATTAGGGACAACCGTGACAATACAGATTTCCGGTTGCCAGAACGTTCAGACAACAAAAACCACCACAGCATCGTCGTTTTTGGCCACAACATTTCGCGCGCAGCACACACTCGAGACACCGGTCTCGACGCGCTCGGCGATCGAATGCTCTCCCGCGCTGCTGGCGTTTTGCTCGCGCAGATTACTGTCATGAGCTTGTTCTTCGTGGGGCATATCCACTTTTACGGACAATCGCAGCACCTGTTCGGGGACCTTGGGCCCGTTATCGCGTGGCCTCTGATCATGAGCTCCACGGTGAGACAAGGCTGTCGTAAAGCAGGGTTGCTGCTTCGGATGTCCACGTTTTTGCAAACCAGTTTTGTTTTTCAACGAACCACCCCTTTGCAAACGCGCCCCGGCAAAAATTTCTTCGCTTTTGGAAGGCTGTTGCGAAAGCTCATTTGGCTTCATGTGTAACCTAGGTTAACGATTCCACAGTGTCCCACCCGGCTGGTGCCCCGGCTGTGTCGAAACATCCCAGCATGGGGTATGCAGCAAGAAGAGGCTCAGGATTGCGGCACGCGCTGCGTGAAAATCCCACCTAACCCGATCGGTTCATGTACGAATATATTACGCTCCTAAACTTCTTCTACTACCTTTGTTCAGCCCCTTTCCGAAAGTGTTGGGAACTCCCTGTGCGCCCGCCGCGTGCCGTTGATCAACACAGGTCCTGAGCGGGCAGATATGGAGCGTGTTCATGAAGGAGTGGGCGGGCGTGCCGCCGCTGGCCATGAAGGTTAACGTCGCATCGATTTGTCTTCTCGTCGCGGCTGTCTCGATCATCGCCGTCGCTGGAGCGGTGTTGTAGCGCTGAAAGACTCAAGAGGGGAGGTCGGCGGTAATGTTCAATTTAATGCTACAATTTGTTTTGAAACATGTTTTTTTTGTTCGTTATTTTTACGGCAACAACAGCGGTGGTGGTGAAAAGAGTGCTTCGCTACATCGGAGCGCCCCCTGTTGTGCCTTGCTCCACACAAACCTGTGCGTGTGGGAGAGATAGATCGTCGGTCTCCGGAAACGGTCTCCAGACCGGCGCGTGTGTGTATTGCAACGGCCTACATGCCGCTGTCTGGGTGTAACTTTTTGGCGCTTTGCTTCGGTTGGGGTGGTTTTTCTGGGTTTCGTTTGGGTGGTCTTTATAAAGTCTCTTGTCGAGAATGTGACGCCGACCTCTCCGCCGAATGGAAGAACACAGCAGTCGTTTGTTGAGCCGCAGCAGTGTGTGTATAACCCTAGGTGGACGGGTTAACCCTAGGTGGACGGGTTGTTGTTTATAATGAATCGTGTGGGGTTTCTAGACAGCCCCCATGAGAGGCGTTACCCGAGAGGTGTCGGTCGGAAGTCGGGTTTTTGTCGGGAGGTGGAACAGTTTTTGACGGAGAGAAGGCAGACGGGCACCGGGCTATTGGGTGAAAGTCTTACGCAATTGGACAGGCCGTGAGAATCACATGGCGCGTAGGGGAACGGTTCTCGATTGAAATATCTGTGAGGAGTGGTTTTTGCAGACACGATTTTGTAGGTGTGTGTGTGTGTGTGTGTGTGTGTTCACAAGTTTTGCTTTGTGAAAGGGCGGGTTGGGCGGGGGTTGGATGCATGTCGTAGTTGCTGACCTTTTTTCCCCCGGAAGTGCGTGTCATCGGGGCACTATATAATAGAGCCAAATACATTATTTACACGAAGCTGGCAGCATGCAATTCTCTGGTTCGTTATGTTGGTAGATTTAGTACTTGGATTTGGGAAAGGGTTATTGAGACGATCATAACAGTTTCTAGGGAGAGAAGCGACACACAAAATGCCCTTCTGAGTGAATCACAAAGAGACCGGGCTATACCTTGCATCGCATTTATCTGTTCAGCGCAGCAGACCAACACGCAACTGTGTGTGACAGAGCGAGCAATAGCAGCATAAAGCAAACGTCAAGCTCTCGGGCTGCATCTGCCTTCTTTTCTGTCCATTTAATCCACCAGTGGGCTTGTGCTACAACCCCTCTTTGCTTAGCGGTTCAGCGCATTAGGCCATGAGTGTTTCTTCTTCTGCAGAACGCAGCAAGATCCAAGTTGATGCAGTTTAATCCTGAAAAAGGTTGGTTTCTGTTGCGGTGAATGTTCGCTCCGTTTTCTTCACCCGGTTTTTATTTTCAGCCGTTTTCTTGACCCCTCCTGATTTCTCGGAGCTCATGAAAGCTACGCCCACGCGGCAGTGTCTCCGCTCGCACCATGTCTCGCCTTTCCTCTGTTGGAAACTCAAACAAAGCAGTTTCGTTCCTGAGTGAATCAGTATTAGTGTAAGCATTTGGTGAAGATTGCCCTCTAATCGTGGGGGAGATTTTTCTTGGCCCCAGCCGATTTCTCTGAGCCCGTAACGTATGTACACACAAGCGAGCTCGGGGCAGTACTGACGGTCACACCAGTCCTGGGCGGGGCGCGGATGTTTTGGCGCGCAGTTACACCGCTAGCGCGGCGAACAGATAACAAAAAAAAGCCCTCCCGCTGGGCGGGAAGAGTAGTCGGGAGTAGTGACTCCCGCACAAGTTTTTGTGGGGCTATCTCCGCAACTGGGCAAGCAAAATAGTTCCCGGTGCCGTTCCATGCGCCAGAACAGAATAGACGTCCTCCGCAACTTCCTCCGCAACTCTTGTGGAGTCTGGTGGACTGGGCAGCAAGCACGACGACCAGACCGCAATCGTGAGGCACGAGCAAGGTCCGACATAAGTAGGATTTTCCGAGATCGGGCAGGAGATACGCGAACGAACATGGTCGTGATCTCGAATTGTTCGGTCAGCAGAAAAATGGTGTCAACTCCAGAACTGAATTTGGCCATGCCCCGCAACAGGCGACAAGCCCATACCCATACCCTCTCCCTTTTGAGCTTCCCTTGTTCTACAACCTCCCCATTTTCTACGCTGCGTCACAGTCTGCGCCCAAAGTACGCCGACGTTTGGTTTGTCGAAACTCGTTTGCGAAGCACGTGGCATGGCGCTAAGTAAATCGCATTCCCCCCTCCCCAAGACCTCTTCGTGGCCTCTCACGACAGAGCTCCTCTAGACTAGTCCCTGTACATGTGAAGACTGCGGCATGGTCAAGCATTCCTTACAAAGGCCTGTCGCCCACACGCACCACGATTAAGTCGACGGTGCATTCGTGTCGGCTTGGCGCTCTAGTGTTACGAACCAGAAAGGTGGCTGTACACACAGCGCATGGATCAACACGCCCACCACACAAACCTACACGGCAAAAGACACGAGCGCCGAAATGCAAGAACCTATTGCACCATCTTGCGTAGAAACAATCGATTTGCTCCTGTACTCAACAAAAAACTTCCGTCGAAATTGACCTTTGGTCCAAACTATGAAGCTATCAGTTCCCTCCATTTGGAGGGTTCTGTGCGGCACCAGCCGCTGCCTCCCTAGCCTCTGCTCTTGTTCTCAGCGTTGGCGCGAGAGCACTGCCGAGCATCAGCTCTGACGGATGGTACAGCAGAAGAGGCGTCGCCAGCATGCCCAAAGAGGGGTGCCCTTCGAACAACGCCTAACGTCGGGCAAGACCGAGTTCAACACAAGTTGCAGGGAGGCCAGTTGTCAGCTATCAGGACAGGCCACGTCTGTAAATCATATGTATCTTCAGATGTGCCTGATTGACGACTTCAAGATGTTCGAGGCAAAGCACGGATCTACGGACGCCGTGCCATGTGTTTTCGGAGTCCCGCAAGCAACTTGGACGGAAGCAGCGAAGGTGGAGCGGGGTGTACCGCGGCATGCGCAGTAGTCTTCGCGGGGGGTTTGGATGAACTAAACATGTTGATTAAAGCATGTAATCGGGGAAGTTGGGTTAGGGATAGGGTTAGGGATAGGGTCTGCGTATCCCCTCCCTGCTCTATTTCCTCATAAGCTTATTTCTCGCGAAGGTGGTCCGGCATACGGGAGTACTGCAGGGAGCTAAGAGGTTCGACCTCCTGGCACAAAGATGAAGAGGAGGCCTGCCGACAACGAGCGCTCAAACGAAACAACAAGCCCAGCAACAGCACAGGCATGGCTACAACCAATGAGGCGGGAGGGGGGCAGCAGACGGACGAGACGGCGAGGGAACCAAGCAAACCACAAGCGGCGAACCGAGGGGCGCGATATGTTTCGGATTGAACCCTTGATTAATCCCCCCCCCCCCCCAAGGTTGGAGTTCAAAAGTAGATGTGAAGAAGTAGGATTATATTGCTTCGCAAGGGGGGGGGTAGAAAGGGAAGGAAACCACTTTAGAATCACGTTTGGAAGGAGAGTAAGCGCAGAATGGGAAAGACTAGAAGTAGAGAAGATGTCGGCGTGGGTGAGGAGACTAGGTTGGAGGGTGTGCATAGCAAATAGGATCCAGGAAGTAAGGCGTAGCCCAAGGCTGGCTGAAAACAAAGGGGGGCAGGAGGCCCGAAAGGGTCAAAAGGGAAAGCAAGCCAAAGTAGGGGAAGGGGGGGGCAGCGATAGGATAAGGCAGAAGCGAAGGCAAATGAGGGACAAAAGGAATCCTGAAAGGCACGGGAAAGTAGAAAGTAGGAGTAAGGAAATCAGAATAGGGTCTTGGAATGTATGCGGATTTGCCACAGATGAGCGTAAAAGACTCGAAATTGTCGAGCAAGCGGCCGAAAAAGACCTGGACATAGTCGGAGTCCAAGAGTCGTGGGAGAAGGACGGGGGAGAAATAGGAAAAGAAGTGGGAAGCTACACATGGATAGGTAAAATGAGGAGAGGACAGAAAATCAAGAGTAGAGGGGAGGGGGGAGTTGGATTCTTAGTCAAGGAGCACATGTGCGACATAATTGAGGTGATCAGCGACACCAAATTCAACGAAAGCATGTGGATAAGGGTACCAGGGGAACGGGGAAGAAAGGACTTGTTCGTAGGAAATGTATATATGCCACCAGAGTCGAAGAATATGGTGAAGGACATCAGGATAGGGTTCGAGGAGGTAGCAGCGGATGTACAAAACTTCAAGAGAAAGGGAGAAGTAGTTCTAGTTGGGGACTTCAATTCAAGAATCGGGCGAACCACGAACCCACACGGGACCATAGGGCAATACGGGGAGGGAGCCACGAACAAAAACGGGGAAGAAATGCTGAGGTTCCTTGACAGTAGCGAGATGAAGGTGTTGAACGGTAGAGTACGAAAGACAGAACCGGAATGGACTAGGCAATGTTTCAAAAAAGGAGAACGCTCCATCCTTGACTATATGGTCGTAGAAAATGGGGGGAAAGAGACGGAAGTACGAGTATGCACAACGGATGTAGGCACTACAGACCACGCGTTGGTGTGGACAGCCCTACAACAGACGAGAGTCATACAGAGTAGGCGACGCAGGAAAATGTACAGATGGAGAATAGATAAGCTAGAAGTAGAAGAAACGAGGGTAGAGTTCCAAGAAGAGATGGCTATAAACGACAAGAAACTCTCGGAGTTGACACAGGCAATGGGTACACCGAAGGATGCCGAAGGCCGGGACCAGGCCGGGTCTAGAATCATAGAAGGGTGGGAAGAGCTGGTAAACACAACAGCAAGTAGAGTTCTAGGTAGAAAGTTGATAGTTTGTAAGAGAGCAGTGAAGTGGTGGAACGAAGAAATCAAGCAAGCAATTCGAGTACGTAGAGAGTCACACGTAAAATATGCGGCAGGGAAAACAGATGCAGGATGGAAGGAGTATGTGGAAAGTAGAAAGAGGGTGAAGGAGTTGGTCTGAAGAAGAAGAAAGGGTTGTGGGAGGAAGTAGTCCAAAAGACTAACGAAGATTTTGAGGGGGGGAGGAAGCAAACGTGCGTAGGAATTCAAGGGATAGTGGGCAGGAAGAGAGGGGGACACACGGAAATAACGACACTAAGATCTGCCGAGGGTAAGATGGTAAGCAGTTCTAAAGGAAAGAGGGAAGTACTAGTATAGCACTACCGCAAACTTGGGACACCCACCACCAACGACAACTTCGACTCGGAGTTTGAGAAGGAAATCAACTCCTGGGCAGAGGAAAACGTCGAAAGATCTCGGAGGGAACGTAGTGATGTAGACGGGTTGCAGGGAGAGTTCACACGAGAAGAGGTTGAGGACTGCGCGTAGCGAAACTCAAGAATAGAAAAGCGGCAGGGGCTGATGGAATTGTGAACGAGCTTTTGAAACAGGGGGGGGAGGGGATGATTAACATGTTGGTCCGGATATTCAACTGGATATGGAAACACGAGTACGCGCCGAAGAGATGGAGAGAAGGAGTAGTCGTGAACCTGTTCAAAAAGGGGGATAAAGCTGACCCGGGGAATTATAGAGGGATAACCCTGCTGAGCACAGTGGGGAAACTGTTTGGCAAGATGCTAGACAATAGAATGGGAGACATGTTGGAGGGGAAACAAAAGATCAGCGAAGGACAAGCTGGATTTAGACCAGATCGTAGTTGTGTAGACCATGTATATACGTTAAGTAAAATCATCCAAGGTAGGAAAGACGCCGGGCGTACGACATACTGTTTTTTCCTCGATGTACAAAAAGCCTACGACACCGTATGGCGCAATGGATTGTGGAAAAAGATGTGGGACATCGGCATCCGGGGGGAAATGTGGAGGATGTTGAAAAATATGACAGAATGCACAAGAAGTGCGGTGATGTTGGATGGGGAAATTTCGAAGTACGTGGATATACTCCAAGGAGTCGCACAGGGCTGTACGATGTCACCCACTCTTTTTAAGATTTACATCAACGATTTGATAAGGGCGGTTGAAGCAGTAAGACAGGGAGTCCAAGTAGGGGGAAAGAGTGTGTCCGGACTGATGTTTGCAGACGATTTCGTGGGGGTATCCGAAACACCAGAAGGGTTGCAAGAACAAATAGATGCGGCGGTAGGATACACCCGAAAATGGAGACTGTCGGCGAACGTAGGAAAATGCGCAGTAGTGGTCTGTAACGAAGACAAGAAAAATCCCGTAGAATTCAAATGGAAATGGGGGGAGGAAGAACTACCGGTAGTAGACAAGTATACGTACCTGGGAGTAGAGATTTCGAAGGAGTGCTCATGGGACGCACACATAGCGAAGTTGATTGGGAAGGGTAAAGCTCAGATAGGCAAGATGGACGAGATCCTTACGGACCCACACCTAGACACTA